TTTTCATGTGTTTTTTGGCCATTTCTATATCTTATTTGGAGATATGGCTATTCAAGTCCTTTGTCTATTTTTGAGTCTTTATTGAGTTTTAGGAGTCTTGGCACTCTTTATTGGACTACGTGTGTGTGTGTGTGTGTGTGTGTGTGTGTGTGTGTGTGTGTGTGTCACATATATATGTATATATGTAAGGGTTTATTTCTGGGCTTTCACAATTTTTCCAGAGTGTTCATTGCTAGTATATAGAAATGCAACTGATTTTTTGTGTGTTGGTTTTTATATCCTGCTAATTTGCTGAATCCATTTAGTAGTTTTAAGATTTTCTTTGTGCAATCTGTAGAATTTTCTACATACAAGACTGTATCATTTTCAAAGAAAGAAAATTTTACTTCTTCCTTTCCAGTTTGGGTGCCTTTTATTTCTTCTTGCCTAATTGCTCTCTAGCGGGAATATCTAGTACAAGTATTCCCTACTTTTTGAAAGTTTGCGTTACTCCACTTTACTTTTCGAAAGACTTACTTTAGTATCTGTTTTCATTAACCAAAATAAATCTACAGAGAGAATTTTTACTTTTATAAAAAAAGCTAAAAACAGCATACAGTGTTTTTTTTGCAGCAAGCTGTTAGAGAGGCAGTGCCTACCCTAAGCAGGGAGAGTGGCATCACGAAACTCCTCCCTGGGAGCTACACTCAGCATCCCAGCATCAAGCCACCATAGTTCTGAGCTGTCTGGGGAGCATTTGTGCTTTATCTTAATTTTGTGCATTTTTTCTCAAACTGTGTCCTAAAGTAACAGAAAAACCTAACAGAGGTTATTTTTGGGGCCTAGGAAGGCTCAAAAAATTTTCCATGTAAATTAATGGTAATCATTTCTTCACTTTATATGGTTTTGTCTTACAAAAAATTTCTTAGGGACCCTTTACTTTCAGATAGTGAGAAAACCAGCACTGTTGAATTGAAGTGGCAAAAATGCGCATTCTTGACTTTTCCTGACATTAGAGGAAAAGCTTTCAGTTATCTTTGAGTATTGTTATGTTCACTATGGGGTTTTCATGTATGGGTTTTATTATGTTGCAGTAGTTTCCTTCTATTCCCAGTTTGTTTTTTTTTATTGTGAAAATGTGTTGGATTTTGTCAAAGCTTTTTTCTGCATTAGTTGATCGTGTGGGGTTTTTTTTGTTGTTCATTCTGTTAATGTGGAGTTTTCATATGTTGGACCATCTGCATTCCACAGATAAATCCCACATGGTCACACTGTATAATACTTTTAATACGCTGAATTCGGTTCCCTAATATTTTGTTGCAGATTTTGCATCAATATTCATAAGGGATATTTGTCTAGTTTTCTTGTAGTGTCTTTGTCCGGCATTTGTAGTAGGGTAATGCTGGCTTCAATTCTTACAGAGTTACAAAGTGTTCCCAGTATTTCCTCCACTTCGATGTTTTGGGAAAGTTTAGGAAGAATTAGTGTTAGCAGTTGTTTAAATGTTTGGTAGAGTTCACCAGTCAAGCCATCTGGTGCAGGAATTTTTTTTTTGTTCTTGTGAGATTTTACTGCTTACTTCACTTTTCTTACCAATTACTTACCCATTCATATTTTCTACTTCTTGGTGCATTTTGTGTTTCTAGAAATTTGTACATTTCAACAAGATCATCTAATTTGTCATCCATAGCACTTTCTTGCAATTCTTTTTAATTCTGTAGAATCAGTAGTGATATTTTCACAGTCGTTTCTGATTTTACTAATTTGAATCTTTCTTTTTTTGTAGTCCATCTAAACTAAAGATTTTTCAATGTTGATTTTTTTCAAATAACCAACATTTGATTTCTTTTAAGTTTTCTCTCTTGTTTTACTATTCTCTATTTAATTTACCTCTGCTCTGATCTTTATTGTATCCTTCCCTCTGCTAGCTTTCAGTTTAGTTTCTTTTCTAGTTCCTTAAGTTGTAAAGTTAGATTGTTGACATCTTTCTTGTTTCTTAATGGAAGCATTTATAGCTATAAATGTCTCCACTAGCACCACTTTGACTGGATCTTATAAGTTTGGGTATGTTGTTTTGTTCTTACTCATCTCATGTATTTTCTGATTTCCCTTGTGATTTCTTCTCTAATCTGTTGGTTTTTTAGGGGGTGTTTAATTTCCGCAAAATTGTGAATTTTCCAGTTTTACTTATGTTGTTGGTATCTAACTCATCCTGTTGTCATCAGAGAAGATACTTTGTATGCTACATTTTAAAATCAATTGAAACTTAATTTGCGGCCTAACAGGTCTCTCATAGAAAGTGTCCCATGTGCACTTGAAAAGATTGCATATGCTGTTGAGGATGGCTAAGGTGTTTTATTTATGTCTTAGATCTCATTGATTTGTTGTGTTGTTTAAGTCATCTGTTCCCTTATTTTCTGTCTGGTTGTCATGTCTCCATTGAGAGTGGAGTTTTAGTCTGCAACTATTATTGTAGAACTTTCTATGTCTTTAATTCCATCACCTGTTACTTTATTTTAATGTCTGTTATTAAGAAAATGTTTATAATTGTTACATCTTGCTGTATTGAACCTATTGAACCTTTTATTAATATAAAGTCCTGTGTCTCTTACAAAATAAAAAAAATGACCTTTTATTTAAAGTCTGTATTTTCTGATATTAGTATGGAATACCCTGCTCTGTTTTGGTTATTAGTTGCATGGGATATCTTTTTTTTTTATCCTTTCACTTTCAGTCTTTTTGTGTCTTTGGATCTAAACAGTCTCTTATAGACCCTATATAGTTGGATTGTGTTTTTTTTAATCCATTGTGCCAAACTCTGTTAGAGAGTTTAATCATTTTCATTTAAAGTGATTGATAAATAGGGATTTCTGTGATTTTGGTATTTATTTTCTGTATGCCTTCCAGCTGTTTTGTCCTTCATCTCCTGCATTATTGTCTTTTGTGTTTGATTTTTTTGTAGTGAAATGTATAAATTTCCTTCTGATATCTTTTGTATGTGGTCCATAGCTATATTCTTTGTGGTTACCATGAGGATTACATCTAACATCCTAAAATTATAACACTCTAATTTGAAATTATAGCAGCTTCATTTCAATAACATACAAAAACTCTGCTCCTTTAACAGTTCTGTTCCTACTTGCCTCTTTCAATTGTTAATGTCATAAAATTACATTTTTATACATTGCCCCAAAACATAAATTAATTATTATTTTTAAATGCTTTAGTCTCTAAAATTATGTAGGAAACTGTAGCATTACAAACTAAAGTACAGTAATACTTTTATTACTGCCCATATATTTGCCTTTATGAAGATGTTAATTTCTTCATAAGGCTTTGAGTTACTGTCTAGTCCCTTCATTTCACTTTGGAAAACTCATTTGATCATATCTTATAGGAGAGGTCTAGTGTTCGTGAACTCCCTCAGCGTTTATTTACCTGGTAATGTCTTAATATCTCCCTCATTTTTGAAGGGGAGTTTTGGTGGATATAGGATTGTTTTTTAGCATTTTTAAATATATTGGCCCACTGCCTTGCAGCCTCCAAAGTTTCTCTTGAGGTGCCTGCTGATGATCTTATTGAGGCTCCCTTGTTTGTGGTGAGTTGTTTCTCTATTGCTACTTTCATGATTCTTTGTCTCTCTCTTTTAAAAGTTTGATTTTAATGTGTCTCAGGGTATCTGAATTTATCTTGGGGTTCATTGAGCTTCCTAGACGTCACATTCATCTTCTAAATCAAATTTGGGATGTTGTCAACCATGATTTTTTTAAACATTATCTTTTCTCCTTTTGGGACTCCTGCAATCAATGTGTATGTTAGTCCACCTCATGGTCCCTTATATTCTGTTCACTTAAGGCATTTTTCTTCCTGTTCCTAAGACTCAGTAATTTCTGTTCTCCTAACTTCAAGTTCAGTGATTCTTCCTTCAAACCTGCTCAAATCTGTCTTTGATTCCCTCCAGTAAATTTTTCACTTACTGTACTTTTCAGCTCCAGAATTTCTTCTTGGTTTGTTTTTAAGTTTTCTTTCTTTTTATTGTTATTTCTCCTTTGTAATATATTGTTTTGACTTCTCCACATCTCTTTTAGTTCTTGGAGCATCTTTAAAACAGTTGTTGTAAAGTCTTTATCACAATCAAGTAGGATTTATACTAGATATGCAAGGGATATTTTCTTGTTAGTGCACTGCTAAGAGTGTGTGATATCCTTCAGGAGCCTATTACAACCGTTTCCGTATGGAAAGCTTGGTATTCAGTGTTTGTCATTATATTCATAGAGTGTATGGTATTGCAAAATCGATCATGGTGCTTTTACAGTAGCATTTCTCAACGTAGGATCCTGATTATTGGGTGGCCTTCAGGGGCTCATACCAAATTTGTGTGTGCATTTAATGGAAAAGGGTCTATAGCTTTCTAAGATTATCAGAGGAATATATGCCCCCGAAATGGTTAAGAATTGCTAAGAATGTAATTTTGCCCTTGCACAACTGACCCACAGTATTGTGCTTTTATAGTTTCTGCACATTTATTTATGATAATTTGGTTATACACATAGTAAAATCATGCATGATAAATACAGTAGCTACAAATGAAAGTTATTTTTTCCTTCCAGACTTATATTTATCAGCTGTTATTTTTATAATTAAGTTTACCTTTCTCTAGGGCTGTCTTTTTTAAACTTTTTAAAACTCTCTTGCACTGTTGTTCCAAATTTATCATTAAGTAGGGCGTATTATATACAGTCTATCAAACTTAACATTTAGAAGCAAAGGTCTGAAAAGAAAATCCCTTCTGAGACCTAATTCCCAACAACTCATGAGCATAACTATGTTGTAAGTTTTATTTCAGTTTGATTTAAAAGTTGCTATTGTTGCAGAAAGTTTTGTTTTCTTTTAAATAAGTACAGTTGAGCTTTAGTTAACTTAAGATTTTACTTACTGTGGAAAAACTGCTTTGACAAATTGAAAAGCACTTTGCAAGTACTGTTTTTTGAGGGGAGCTCAGCTTGTTTTCTGTCTTCTAGGATACAGATGAGTTTATTTTACCAACTGGAGCTAATAAAACCCGGGGCCGATTTGAACTGGCCTTCTTTACCATTGGAGGATGTTGTATGACAGGTGGGTAAAATCAGTTTCTTTCATTATCCTCAAGCCAAGTAGTCAAAGTGCTTAAAATCAAAAGCAATTAGAATATTGGTTTTAGAGTTTTAGAAAGTCGTTATTGACATTTTTCATCTTTTTCCTATTAAATAAAAGTGTAAAAAATCACAAATGTAGTTGTAATCACAATCAACAGTATGTAATAGTAATACTATAATAATACTGTTTATTTACTATGTAATACTATGATTTACTAGGGGCTACATTTGGGGCAATGAATGGTCTACGGCTAGGATTGAAGGAAACCCAAAACATGGCCTGGTCCAAACCAAGAAACGTACAGTAAGTTCTTAAAATTACCTGACATAGTGATGTTTGGCTATTAACCTCTTCTTTGTTGATTTGATCAGCACAGCTTTGTGATTACAAATGTTTGGAGTATTGATATACTTTTGGGGCTTTTTTTGTTCTTACTCAAAATAAAAGGAAATAAGGAATTGCGTTACTGAGTTAAGCTTTTAAATGGAGTGATTTTTGAGCCAAAGTCCCTCAGTCAGCTGATGCTACTCCATCCTAACTTCTCAGCTACACCTGATCCCTCCTCACACCTATATGACATGCTTTTCAAACTGTTGAAATACGAGTATATTATTGGATTGCTCTGGTGCATAGAAAACCATGGGATGTGGTAGTGAGGCAATAAACACACACGTTAGAGTGATTGCCAGATCTGCTATTGTTTGACTTGAACTTCTTAATGACTTCACTCTACACTTCTGAAATGGAAAGCTGCAGAAAATTTAAATGAAATTCCTAGAGTGTAGAGGTAGTTGCAAAAGGAATAAGAAATTGAAGATGGTAGAGAAGGGCAAGTATGATTAACAAAGTCAGCAAGTGTATATACTATATATCTTCCCCTGTTTAAGAAACAACATGCCTGGTCCCTGTGTATATTCCCTAACCAATATATTTAATTTTACCTGTTTTTATACTTACTATGTGGAATCACACAATATGTATTTAATGGCTCATGGTTTTCCTTTGAGACACATGCATCTTTATCTTCCTTATGTTCTTTAGCCAGCAGATGGCAGCAGACGTACTGGCATCAGACCTTAAGGATCCTGAAGTCCTGTCAAGTTTTTCATATTCCTCTTACCACGTGTATCACAGCCCTTGCTTTACTAGCACAGATACTTGAATATTTTTATGTTCCTAACATTTTTCCCTCTGTCCAATAATTTTACTTTTCTGTATTATGGGAATTCTGAACATATTCAAAAGTAGACAAAGTAGTACAGTGAACACCTATGAACTGTAGCCCATCCTCAGCGAATCATCAACCAGAGCCAGCATCAATTGTGTTCCATCTCCTCCCCTTTCACATTATTTTGAAACAAATCCCCAGCATTGTACTATTACATACCAATTTCAAGGTGGACGTTCTCCTACAAAAGATAACCTTCATTTCTTAAAACAGTGATAGTTAATAATTTTTTTAAAAGAATCACATTGGGTTGCTTTTTGAAATCTCACATGCCATTTTTTATAGAATCATTATACTCTTCCTGGATACGAAGCATTTAAATTAGGAGACCTCTTAAAAACGGAAAGAAGATAGGGTTTCAGGCCAGACAGAACTGTGTAGCTTCAAAAGCAAATTTCAAGACTTACTGTTTTGTGATCTTAGGTATTCTGCCTTTAAGGGTTATTGAGAGATAATTAAAGTGAGAAATAGGTAAGGGCCCAATAAATGGAGGAATGTTGCCCCAAAAGAACTTTTTTTGGTATCATTAATATACAACTACATGAGCAACGCTGTGGTTACTAGATTCCCCCCATTAACAAGTTCGCACCACATACCCCATTACAGTCTCTGTCCGTAAGCGTAGTAAGTTGCCATAGAGTCACTACTCATCTTCTCTGTGCTATATTGCCTTTCCTGTGCACCCCCTACATGTGTGCTAATTATAATGCCCGTTATTCCCCTTCTCCTGCTCTTCACACCCACCCTCCGCCCCTAACACCAGTCCATTTCCCTTTGGCAATTGTTTGACCATTCTCGGGTTCTGTGAGTGCTGCTGTTTTGTTCCTTCACTGCTCCACAGATTAGTGAAATCATTTGGTACTTGTCTTTCTCTGCCTGGCTTATTTCACTGAGCATAATACCCTCTAGCTCCATCCATGTTGTTGCAAATGGTAGGATTTCTTTTCTTCTTCTTATGGCTGAATAATATTCCATTGTGTATATGTACCACATCTTCTTTATCCATTCATCTACTGATGGACATTTAGATTGCTTCCATATCTTGGCTATTGTAAATAGTGCTGCGGTAAACATAGGGGTACATCTGTCTTTTTCAAACTGGAATGCTGCATTCTTAGGGTAAATTCTTAGAAGTGGAATTCCTGGGTCAAATGGTATTTCTATTTTGAGTTTTTTGAGGAACCTCCATACTACTTTTCACAGTGGTTGAACTAAACTACATTCCCATCAGCAGTGTAGGAGGGTTCCCCTTTCTCCGCATTCTCACCAGCATTTGTTGTTCCTATTCTTTTCTATGATGGCCATCCTAACTGGTCTGTGATAATCTCATTGTGATTTTAATTTGCATGTCCCTGATAATTAGCAATGTGGAGCATCTTTTCTTGTGCCTGTTGGCCATCTGAATTTTTGGGGGGAAGTGTCTGTTCATGTCCTCTGCCCATTTTTTAATAGGGTTATTTAGCTTTATGGGTGTTGAGGCATGTGAGTTCCTTATATATTTTGGATGTTGACCCCTTGTCGGGTATGTCATTTACAAATATATTCTCCCATACTGTAGGATGCCTTTTTGTTCTACTGATGGTGTCCTTTGCTGTACAGAAGCATTTCAGCTTGATATAGTCCCACTTGTTCATTTTTGCTATTGTTTCCTTGCCCAAGGAAAAAGTTCCTCATGTTTATATTCAAGAGATTTTCGCCTATGTTTTCTTCTAAGAGTTTTATGGTTTCATGACTTACATTCAAGTTTTTGATCCATTTTGAATTCACTTTTGTGTATGCGGTGAGACAATAATCCAGTTTCGTTATCTTCTATGTAGCTGTCCAGTTTTGCCAACACCAGCTGTTAAAGAGGCTGTCATTTCCCCATTGTATGTCCATGGCTCCATATTAATTGACCATATATATTTGGGTTACTATCTGCACTCACTGTTCTGTTCCACTGGTCTGTGGATCTGTTCTGCCAGTACCAAATTGTCTTAATTAATGTGGCTTTGTAGTAGAGCTTGAAGTTGGGAAGTGAGGTTCCCCCTGCTTTATTCTTCCTTCTCATGATTGCTTTGGCTATTCAGGGTCTTTTGTGGTTCCATATGAATTTTAGGACAATTTGTTCCAGTTTGTTGAAGAATTCTCTTTGGTATTTTGATAGGGATTGCTTTGAATCTGTAGACTGTTTTAGACAGGATGACGATTCTGACAATATTAATTTTTCCTGGCCAAGAGCATGGGATGAGTTTCCATTTGTCAGTGTCCTCTTGAATTTCTCTTAAGAGTGTCTTGTAGTTTTCAGGGTATAGGTCTTTCACTTCCTTGGTTAGGTTTATTCCTAGGTATTTTATTCTTTTTGATGCAATTGTGAATGGAATTGTTTTCCTGATTTCTCATTCTGCTAGTTCATTGTTAGTGAAAGGAAAGCAACAGATTTCTCTGTATTAATTTTGTATGCTGCAACTTTGCTGAATTCAGATACTGGTTCTGGTACTTTTGGAGTGGAGTCTTTAGGGTTTTTATGTACAATATCATGTCATCTGCAGATAGTGACAGTTTGACTTCTTCCTTACCAATCTGGATGTCCTTTATTTCTTTCTTTTGTCTGATTGCTGTGGCTAGGAACTCCAGTACTACGTTGAATAAAAGCGGGTAGAGTGGGCATCCCTGTCCTTTTCCCGATCTTAGTTGAAAAGCTTTCAGCTTCTTGCTGTTACATGTGATGTCAGCTGTGCATTTGTCATATATGGCCACTATTATGTTGAGGTACTTGCCCTCTATACCTATTTTTTTGAAAGTTATCATGAGTGGATATTGAATTTTGTTGAATGCTTTTTCAGCATCTATGGAGATGATCATGTGGTTTTTGTCCTTTTTGTTGATGTGGTGAATGATGTTGATGGATTTTTGAATGTTGTACCATCCTTGTATCCCTGAGATGAGTCCCACTTGATCATAGTGTATGATCCTCTTGATGTATTTTTGAATTTGGTTTGCTAATATTTTGTTGAATATTTTTGCATCTATGTTCGTCAGGGATATTGGTCTGTAATTTTCTTTTTTGGAGGGAGTCTTTGCTTGGTTTTGGTATTAGAGTGATAGAATGATAGAATGAGTTTGGAACTATTTCCTGCTCTTCCATTTTTTGGGTAACTTTAAGGAGAATGGGTATTATGTCTTCTCTAAATGTCTGATAAAATTCAGCAGTGAATCCATCTGTTCCGGAAGTTTTGTTCTTGGGTCGTTTTTTGATTACTGATTCAGTTTCATTGCTGGTAATTGGTCTGTTTAGACTTTTTGTTTCTTCCTAGGTCAGTCTTGGAAGGTCATATTTTTCTACAATGTTGTCCATTTCTTCTAGGTTATCCAGCTTGTTAGCATATACATTTTCATAGTATTCTCTAATAATTCTTTGTATTTCTGTGGGGTTCATCATGATTTTTCCTTTCTCATTTCTGATTCTGTTTATGTGTGTAGATTTTCTTTTTCTCTTAAGTCTGGTTAGAGGCTTATCTATTTTGTTTATTTTCTCAAAGAACCAGCTCTTGGTTTCATTGATTTTTTTCTATTGTTTTATTCTTCTCGATTTTATTTATTTCTTCTCTGATGTTTATTATGTCCCTCCTTCTGCTGACTTTGGACCTCATTTGTTCTTATTTTTCCAGTTTCAATAATTGTGACTTTAGACTATTCATTTGGGATTTTTCTTTCTTTAAATAGGCCTGAATTGCTATATACTTTCTTCTTAGAACTTCTGTCGTTGTGTCCCACAGAAGTTGGGTCATTGTGCTGTTGTCATTTGTCTCCATATATTGCTTAATCTTTGTTTTAATTTTGGTCATTGATCCATTGATTATTTAGATGCATGTTGTTAAACTTCCATGTGTTTGTGAGCCTCTTTGTTTTTTTTGTGCAATTTATTTCTAGTTTTTATATCTTTGTGATCTGAGAAGTTGGTTGGTAGAATTTCAATCTTTTTGAATTTACTGAGGCTCTTTTGTTGTGGCCTAGTGTGTGGTCTATTCTGAAAAATGTTCTGTGTGCCCTTGAGAAGAATGTGTTTCCTGCTTTTGGGTGTAGAGTTCTGTAG